AAGTATGGAAACAGAAACACAAAGTATGAAACGGAAAAAGAAATCAGGCTTGACCGAAAATGAGATGACGAGACAATATCTGCAAAATAGCGGGTCAAACGTGGATCAGAAGAGCAATGAACTGTGATAATAGTGATAACTGGAGTGATCTTGAAAAGGCTTATGTAAGAAACGTATAATAACAGCTGAGTAAATAAATAAATAAATAAATAAATAAAAGATTGAAAAAATACGATTGCACACGCAACATCAGAATATATTCATCATCGACAACCGGTACCTGTTGTGAATGTTGTTGATAAATTGGTGGAGGTGGAGGATTGCAGTAGCTAGTGGCCTGATGCACTGATTCTTCGAAACGTATGTGCTGCGGAGATGACCGATGTTCACACTAAAATCACGCAAACGTTTTTACAACTCCTCTAATTCACCACTCCTTAATGCCCGAAAAACACGAAATAAATTCAACTATATATCAGAAATTTTTCACGCAAACCCTTGCTTGCAGATACATTAAATAAAATCTCTTATGTTTCACTAATGAATCAGAATTACAACAATCTGAAAGCATAGGAAATGAATTCTTAGAAGGCGAGAGTTTTTTAATCCATTATTTAAATCTCACAATCTTTTCACTGATTCCACCACTTCAAATAACCTCATTAAATGCATCTTCTGGATGTCATTCCTAACCTACCTCAACTTTTTTACCATTAGAAATTACAAAAAAAAATATTATCAAATACACCAAATGATTCGAATATAATATAATTCGAATTCGAACAATACGATTCAAATCGACTCAAATAATCAACGATAACAAATCAACGTCTTCGCACGCACTATATAAAAGTATCGCACTACATCCACAAATGTATCTTTAAATTTCCAATACAATCCGAATAAACAAATCAATTGACTAACCCCGTCGAAGTTGTAATTGCTCTCAAGCACCTGAATGCGCATCATTGTTTCCAGATAATGTGCTCGCACACGAACCGCATTGAATTCCACTCGACCCTCCGGATTCGAGCACGATGCACTGCTGCATGGACACGGGAACGACGGACGATCAACCTTAATTTCCAAACAAATTATCTTTCTAAAACCTATTCAACCCATTCCATTTTCCACGAGATGACCACCGAGAGTTTCTCGCATGCTGACAACATACACTAAATAATGAAAATGCATATTACTCATCTTCAGTCGTGTGCCATCAAAAAAAACGTTCATCAGTTATTTAACATCACTAAAACTTTCCTCACTGAATTCGAGAATTTCAGTTTTTAAAAATATTGTGAAATACACCAAACAATGACTGCTTTAAATTCCATTGCAAAATCAACAAATTAAATTCAAAACAATTCCAAAACTCCCACTGAATCAATCACACGATAAAATTCGCCACTTTCCCAACACAGTCTAACAACAACAAACTCAAAAACATTTCCATCACCAATGCTCAATAACATTAAATAAAA